CTGTGTCCCTAGTTTATGGGCAGGAGGAAGAAATACGAGGACTTTAAGGTGTCCAGTTACTCAGGTAACTGTTTTAATCCAAACTCAGGGTGTACAGCCACGTGTCTGCAGTGTGTCGAAGAAGTGGTGACCAAAAGAGCGTTGTGGAGATGTGTGTTGGGGGTTCGTGCCCATGAGCAGCTTTAGGAGGCGGCCTCTGCGTTTGCTCAAGGGACTGGCAGAAGTGTTCGGCCATAGTTTGGTGCAGAAGTAAAATAGGTGCTGAGGTGGGTGGAGGAAGCCTGAGGCTTTATCACAGGATAAAGTGATATCAGCTTAGGTTACAAGAGGAGTGTGTGCTCTGCTAAGCTCGGGCACCTTTCTTTGTTAAGAAATGAGTCTTCTGAGGTCAGTATAGTCTCTGTAAAGAGAGACCCTTGTCTTCATCCAAAAAAGTCTCCGACTATGGCGTGTCTTTAAAGGAAACTGTTTGTGTTTGTTGACTAAAAAGGGAAATGGATCTCTAGCTATCATAGAACCGTCTGGTTGGAAGAGACCTTTAAGGTCATCAAATCCAACACCTGTACTGTCAGAGTCCCTAAACCATGTTCCTCAACACAAAATTCACACAGTTTTTAAACATCTCCAGGGATGGAGACTCCACCACCTCCCTGGGCAGCCTGTTCCGATACTTCACAACCCTCTCTGTAAAGAAATTCTTCCTGATATCCAACCTAAATTTCCCCTGGCGTAACTTGAGGCCATTCGCTCTCGTCCTGTCATTCATAACGTGGGAGAAGAGACCAACCCCATCTCCCTACAACTTCCTTTCAGGTAACTGTAGAGAGCGATAAGGTCCCCCGTGAGCCTCCTCTTCTCCAGACTGACCAGTCCCAGCTCCCTCAGCTGCTCCTCATAGGACAAGTTCTCCAAACCCTTCACTAGTTTTGTTGCTCTCAGTTGCTTTCAGTTAGGTGTGAATGAGGGTGAAGTTGGGCAAAGTGGCTGTGCTGGGTCCTCTCTTTTTCTGAGGCCTTGAAGATACTACAGGCACTCAGCATCTGTTGGGATGGGAGAGTTTCCCATACATCACGGAATTAACAGCATGTCCCTCATATTGAAAATCTGGGGCAGTCTGCCTCTCTGTAAGATGAAAGATTGTGAATTTCCCTTCTCTGCTCTGAACTCCTTGGTGATGCACTAATATCTCATGAAAACAGGGTGCCTCCCATGCTGCGACACGGCTTCTGGGCTTACAGGAGTTCAAAGCTGCCCGTGCTGTAAAAATAAATCCCGATGCTCCCCAGAAGAACGCTCGCTTTCTGACGCTGGAAGTAAGTGAATTTACTCTCTTCTGTCTTGCTTCCCTTCTTCACACAGGGGTCTCACCAGGCCTGCTGCTCTGTTAAAGAGCTGGATGTGTTCAACAGAGCACGTGAGATTAAAGTGGATCCTGACAAGCCTCTGGAAGGTGTTCGGCTAGCTGCACTGCAGGTAACTGCACCTCTGCACCACCACTTTGAGGTACATGCTCCTCACCACTGAGGAGGAGAGCGGGACAGCAGCGCGGCGCTTGGCAGCATCTCATCATCCATGCCTGCCATGTCTGGCAAGATCTTTACCAGCCCTAAACCTCGTTGAGGTTGCTTGTGCAAGGATGCCTTTGCCTTTTTGGCAAATGGCAAAGGTGCAGGTAGGGTTTGGGGAAATAAAGGAGTTTCTGCAGAGCAATAGGTGTTTTGCTGTCATTGTGTTCTTATTCCCCAAAACACTAAGATAGCCTTGCCTTGCCTCAAATTGCCTTACCTTTGTCACAAAGTGAACGTGTGACAGAGTTACCTCAGACCTGTGAAGGCTCCGGGGTGATCTTGTTGCAGCCTGCCAGTACTTCAGGGGGCCTACAGGAAAGCTGGAGAGGGACTTTTTACAAGGGCGTGTAGTGACAGGACAAGGGGCAATGGTTTTAAACTGAAAGAGGGGAGATTTTTATTACATCTAAGGAAGAAATTTTTCACTCAGAGGGTGGTGAGGCACTGGACCAGGTTGCCCAGAGAAGCTGTGGCTGCCCCATCCCTGGAAGTGTTCAAGGCCAGGTTGGATGAGGATTTGGGCAACCTGGTGTAGTGGAAGGTGTCCCTGCCCACGGCAGGGGGGTTGGAACTGGATGATGTTTGAGGTCCCTTCCAACCCAAACCATTCTGTGATTCTATGCACATTCAGTAGCTCATATGAGTAGCTTATTTGTGGACATACGCATTAGACCAGTAGGTGTGCCTTGCTGTCTATTTCTTAAATAAAACCTTGTCTGGAATTTTGCTGTACTGCGAGGGGGATTCATCTACAAGCACTACACAATCAAAGATGCTAACTACTCTGTAGCAATAAGATGGTCCACCATATGGAGACCAATGGGACAGTAAAAATATTTCCTTAGTGGACCACCTCCTTTTATTGTGATGACTTCTGTTGTTACACAGGCAAGGAAGACTTTGTTGGTTCCCACACCACGTCTGAGAACCGGGCTGTTCAACAGGATCGTTCCACCTTCAGGTGCAACTAAGGAGATCCTGCGAGTATGTGCTACGTCTCAGGTAGGAACTGAAGAATGGGGGAGCTCGGAATTAACTTGTGGAAGAGTGTTGTGTTCTGACAGTCCAGCTAGAGGTTGGATAACCAGATGCCACCTGAAATATTGCTCTGCTAGTAAGTTATTCCTGGTTTTGTGTACACATCCACCATTAATATTTTTTTTGTTGGTACTTAAATCATGGGGAAACTTAGTCTTTTTGCTAAGTTTTATTAGCAGAACAGTATAGGTATTTTGTGAATGATTTTTTGAACATGATGAGCGACTTTCATAGGTAACTTAGATATTTAGGTTTCCGATAAATAGTACTCCTATATCCTTCTGCAGTTTTAAGCTAGCGAACCCTATAAAGAATATTTTAGTGTTTACAGTTTTTGCATAATATGATCAATAAAATATTAGGTTTTACTAAATAGGAAAGATGACTTTTTTCAGAATCCTAAGTCTAAAGAAACATTGATTCTGTCATTTGCATCAGCCGAGGTACAAAAAAATGGGTTTTCTTTTGAAGTGTGGTATGTTGCTGCCCTCTGGTGTTAAAATATCATACTGTGCAGCTGAAGGCATTTATCAGAGAAACCTGCCTGATTTTAGACACGTCCTTATTTGATACGAAGATGTAACTTGTACAAAATGAACAGGCCAGCTCTGTAGGTTTTATTTTGTTCTTTATCTCCTGCTAAAGGCAATAAAGTTCCACGCTAATCCTGTATACAGCTGAGGGCTGTAAATGGATGGTAATTAGTTTGTTGGAACTTCTATTAAAGTCATTAACTAATTAAGCTTTTCAGGGTTGAAGAGCACTTTTGAAAGAGACCTTTCTCTTGACCTGCTTCAGGCCTCGTATCTGATCTGTGATCTACCACCATGTGTCTATTCTTTCCCCCAGCCAGGCTACTAATGAACAAATGCTGTTTTCACAGTGCTTTGTAAATATAAACTGCTAATAATTCTTACCACGCTGCTGCAAAGTGGATAATGAGCATTGTTACTAATAGTCAGCCACAGATTACTTATCTTTTTGGTTTTATTTTTCTCTCTACACAGAAAGTATTTGGCTTTTTATTGTGAGGATTAACCTAGCACAAAGTTGAACTGGTATGAGGAGGATTTGTAGTGCGCTGTACAGATGTATTAAGAGTGAATGAATCATGGAGTATCTTTCTAAAAGTTGTAAACCTCTCTTGTTTGAAAGCCTAAATAAACACCGTTTTTAATTTCTGCAGCTCTGTACAGATTTTTTTTAGAAAATGTTCTTTAGAGAGGAGCCTGAAGAGGGGTGGGTGGGAACGAGGGGGGAAGAAAAAAAAGATAACAGCACTATGTAAGGTTTTCTTTCCACTTGACAGGAACAGTGTGTGTTCCTGTTCATTAGTGTCTTAGATAGAAGTTTTTGGTAAAGATAGCTTCAGTGGCACGCCCTGGACTATGATCATGCAGCAAAGTGTTGAGGAACATTGTCTTGGGGAACACATAGGCAGTTTTGGAAGGTGCTTCTAAAGACACAGGTGTGGAGAAGCTGGCAGTGCAGTGGATGCAGTGTGAAATGGAGAGTGATCCAGCTTGTGTACCTGCTTGTGCTTCAGTAAAGCCTTTTGTGTGACTTCAGACAAGCTGCTTAACATCTGTGTGCTGTAGCTCTCTGTGTCTAAATTAACTGTGAGAATTAATTTAAGAATTTGTAGTGCTCTGATATTCTTCATTGGGCATGAATTTACATATTATGACTTAAAGTTAGTAGTAGTAGTGGTGTAGAAGTGTTGTTTGCCCTCATTTTTAGAAATAGATGGCCAATAAAGGGTTTCAAAATCCGAATTTTTGATCCTAAATAAGTAACCTTGCTTAGAAAAGTGCCCACCTCCCTTAGCTCTCCTTGAAGTCTGCCAAAATTCTTGGCGCTGTAGTAGGGAATGTATTCTGGGATTCCCTAGAGGATAACTTTCCAGACCTGTACAGCTTGGCTATACATGGAAGAAACACTTTGAAACGTGGGGAGTTACTTGGATTTATCAAAATACTCTGGATTTCTGCCTTGCTGGTAAGAAGGCTCTGCACTCTGCGAACCTAAAATTATGGTTTTCTTCCAGGGTGTAAAAGAATACAGTGTGCCCGTAGGTCTCGATGGGAAAGTACGGGTGGACTTGGTTGTTGTAGGATCAGTGGCTGTCTCTGAAAAAGGTAAGATAAAGCCTTGTAAGCTTTTAAGGAGGAGGGTCTTAGGTCGTCGTTCACGATGTCAGTAGGCTACACTACGTGTTCCTTTTGGGAGACATGAACATATCTTTGGAACCAAATTACAGTCTCGAGTTCTGTCTCTTCTGTGTGACGAGTCACTGATCCCAGTCCAACCAGGAAAAGTCAGTGCCTGCTTTACTGCAGTGCTGCCAGGACTTAGCAGGCAGACTGCAGCAGGGCGTAGAGCATGTGGGCCAGTGTTTTATCCTTCAGTAGAGTTATCCAGGCAAGCAATTTTATTTTTTTGCTTTTAAAATAATCAGAGGGCTCTGTGTTCAGAGGGTCTGCTCTGCTCTGCTCTCACAGGGTGTGTGAAAGGACATGTGTTAGAGCTGCTGATTCAGTACCTATTTGGGGATAGATTTTGTGTTTTCTAGTATTTTGAAGACCTGCTGGTGGTGAAAAATTTTCGGTTGACTTTATGCATTGCCTAAAAGTAACATACTTTGTGTGTGACCCAGACTCCTCTTTACCCACATGAAGTTAACCTGTGTTTGACATGAGTAGAGGGTTCTAATTACAATGGGTAAATACACTTCTGTGTTAGCTGAATTGGCCTAAATTTGATTTATTCTGAATGGGAGGCTCCTGGGATCAGGTGTTCACTGAATCTAACGTTTTACTTTCATTTCAGTGCTGATTCCAAGGAAAGTTGCATTCTGTGAGAGACGCTGATCTGAATTTTTCCCGAGTTATAACTCTTGGATTATCTGTTGCAGACTGCTTAGTTTAGTTGGATGCTTTTGACAGTTATCAGCCTCTCTACTCTGCTGTTTCCATGTTCTCTATCACTGTTGGCTTTTGTGTGTTTTAGGCTGGAGAATTGGGAAAGGGGAAGGTTATGCAGACATGGAATATGCAATGATGGTGTCCATGGGCGCAGTGCAGGCGGATACACCTGTAATTACTATTGTGCATGACTGCCAGGTAAGTTAAAACGTCCACTCTCAAGTGACGAGTCACAACTGTGTGACCCTGAATGGTATGTCTGAAGAAGAGTCTTGGAATGATGCTGGTGTAGCATCTTTGTTTCCACTGTCACCGACAGATTTTTGTATGTCACGAGACATCAGGAATAGTGCGCAGTTTTAGTGATTTTGTTTTTTAGCTGTTTACCCCAAATCTCTTGTTCCTTGTAGGTGGTTGACATAGCAGAAGAGCTTCTCGATGATCATGATTTAACTGTGGATTACATACTCACTCCAACAAGAACTATCAAGACTAACTGCAAACGACTGAAACCTCAGGGAATAATATGGCATAAGGCAAGTTACCTCTGCTAACGGTGGCTTACTGGTACTGACATTCTGCTGACAAGCCTCTGTTTTTCCATATAAACACATTTGTTGTATTGGAAATAATTGGAAAAGGAGCAAATATGTTTGTCAGATGAAACAAAACAGCAGAATTTGTGGGTTTTGAGTGGTAATGGTGAGGAGAAGAAATATATTACTGAAGCTGAGTTTGCTGTATCAAATGGATTATAGAGTGAGAGCCCCTGGAAACATCATTTGTGGATTTTTAAGACATTGTTTCTTGTAGCTGTTTGCAGTATAATGGTCTGTGTAAGTGGAGGGGCTTCTCCACCTTATGTTTTATTCCTCAGTGCTCATTCAAATTGGCTCTGTTCGTTTTCTGGAGACAGTACCGTAGAGAGAACTTTATGGCATTTGGCCGTGTGGAGCAGGTAGTTTATGTGCTGCTCTGGTTGTGAAAGAAAAGCATGACCTAGTGGCTGGTACATTGCTGTTTACATAGCGGATGTGTGGAATTAACTTTCAAAGGATAGATGAATTTCATCTTATTGCAGCCTTCCAGTACCTAAAGGGGGCCTACAGGAAAGCTGGAGAGGGACTTTTTACAAGGGCATGTAGTGATAGGACAAGGGGCAATGGATTTAAACAGAAAGAGGGCAGATTTAGATTAGATATAAGGAAGAAATTTTTCACTCAGAGGGTGGTGAGACACTGGACCAGGTTGCCCAGGGAAGCTGTGGCTGCCCCATCCCTGGAAGTGTTCAAGGCCAGGTTGGATGAGGCTTTGAGCAGCCTGGTGTAGTGGAAGGGGTCCCCACCAATGGCAGGGGGGTGGAACTGGATGATCTTTGAGGTCCCTTCCAAACCAAACCATTCTATGTTTCTAATTTGTGGCTGGAGCTCATTTTCAGGTGGAGGACTAGTGACTTTATACTCTTTTAAATCATGAATTGTTATTTATTGACAACTATTTTTTATGTATTTGGCCTCCCCCTCGCTGCCCTCAAGATTGTCAAAAACTTTAGCAGCTTCACAATGGTTTCAGAAAAGCATGTAGTGAATTGTTTTACTGGAAGTTCATGCTGGGAAAACTTTTTGTCATTAGATTTTCATTCCTAAAATCATCCAGTTAGGGAGCAGATGCAATCCTACATGGTTGAATAACAGCAGGACTGCTGAAATGAGGAATAGTACACCCATGTCTTGCAGAAACCACTGAGGAATTATTAGTGAATACTTCTAGGGAAATGAAGAATTGTTTGTTAAGCACTTGCCAGCCAGCAAAAAGAGTTAAGTTTGTGAAGGTAATGTATCTACAACAAACAATTCTAACCAGTACTATTTTTATTCCTATGGTGGGAGAGTGTTTTACCCTGCCTGTGGCTGAGGATTTGAGGTTAGAAATAAATAAATAAACGCTCTGTCTGTACTAGTGCATTTTTTCCACTGAATTATTTTTGAATCATCATTTTTTTAGGATATTATTGAATGTAATTGTTTTGAAGGCCTACCCCTTGTGCTCCATTCATCTTGCCAACACATTTTTGATCCCAGTCTGTCTGTCTTATTGTCAGACTTCAGTCTCAGTAAGTGGCCTTGCTAACACTTTTTTTTTTCCTTTTTTTTTCTGTCTCATTCCCTTCAGCAGCAACATTTTTCAAAGGTCTGTGGAACACAGTCTCTTCCAGGGGCTGTTAAACTTCTCTACAACTTTTACCACTCATGAAAAGTCAATCAGTCCTAAGCCATGTGTCAAATTTGCTGTTACCTTTGCATTTTTTTGCTCTTTAGAGGAAAAAAAATCGAGATCAGTGTTATAATATACACCTCATAAACTAATGAAGCATTATCTTTCTGTTCTGGGACAAAAACAGTGTTGTGTCTGTATGAAGAAGAAATAAATTAGCATTATTCTTTCACAGGAAGCTGAACCACTTGTACATGTTTTGGTTGTGGTAGTAACTGTATGATCAGCTCTTGCACAGAGGGTCTTGGAGGTGGGAGGTCTAGTTAATCGACAGGGTGTTAAAAGTGCAGGATTTGATATGGGTTATTTAAGTATTTGTCCTTTGACTTTTCCTGGCTGCTTCTACATCCTTTTCTCTGCGTCCTTTTCTCCTTCAAATCCTGGCTTTAGTGGTGCATTCCTGTTCCTCAGAGCAAAACTAAATGAACCAAGAGGTAGTGAGTAAATAAATGAGCCACTTGTAAATACGGTGTTTCATCAACAAAAAGTAGCTTAACTGTATTGTTGAGATGTGTGACTTGTAAAATGCTTTGCAAAAAAGTTCCTTCTTCAGGAACATGGGCCGGATCAAGCCAAGACAATGATTTAAGAGCGTAAATTAAAGGTGTTTGCAAACATGGGATTACAGCTCAGCATTGTTGTAAAGGATGTGCTTTCCCGAAGCTGTTGGGATAAATGGCCATTAGTACCTACGCTCTGTTTTCAGCTCCAAAGAGGTAAGAAGGTACTTATGGAGCAAACAAGATGCATGTCTCCAGGCTAGATTTCTGTGTTCTAAGAGGTACTGCGTTTTCCTGGAGCGTTTTTGTTTGTAATGTCCTATGTAGGAAGGAAGTTGTGTGTCAGATATGAGGATGGAGTAAATAGGTGTTACTCTGTGAGTAAATTATTCACTTCTTGGGGTAATTGGTAAGACTTGCCTTGAGTTGCCTCCTTTTGGTTCTTCTCAGTGCAGAATTTCCAGCTGAGCTATTTCTTCCTGTCGAGGTCGTGTGTTTTTTTCCAAACAGGAAAATGTGAATTACTTACTGTGATTTTTGTCACAGAAATGCGGATTTAAAGACTTCCAAGGAAGTATAAGAGCTACAATATTATTAATACCAAAGAAGCATTATCCAAATCAGTGCTAAGCACTCTAGAAACACTTGTCATTACACAGGCAGTCCTGGAGTGTGTATGCGAGTAAGTTTTCTGCATCTGAGTTCAGGGGTTTGAAAAATCAGTACGTGCTCCTGGAGGACAGCTAGAGCTGCTTTGGAGCTGAGTGCTCTGGAAAACTTGATTTGGATGCCAGTGAAGAATTATTTGGCTTCATCTGTCCTGCAAATCTAAGCCATTGTTTCTGGGAACTCTACATTCATGAAATGACGGGCTTTCTCATTTAGCATTTTGTATGGGTAGCTGTGATCTTTATCTTTGGCGCTGTCCATTATATTTGTCACAATTATGAAGTTATTTGTGCTGTGCTTATTTTAAATTGAAACTGTACAGACCAATTAAAATATTTGGGGTCATGAGGAGGGAAATTAGAGTAGTTGGTGGAAAAATCACTAGATTCTAGCAAGCATTTCCTTCTGTTTCTTTCATCATTCTTTTACTGAAAATTTTATAGAAGTAGGAAAAGATTTTTTTTTTTTTTCCCAGAATGAAATGAACTGCGGGGAATCCCTGGGTCTAATTTTGGAAGAGTTTAGTACACAGTGGCAGAGATGGAAACTATCTGACAACAAACAGCTTTTGATTCAGGTCTGTGATAGAATATTTGGAAAGCAAAGTGATGTTGTTTTAAAGCTCAAAAAATTCACACATTGAAGCTGGCAAAACCTTCAGCAGGGACATAATGTTGCCATCAGATAAAAATTGCTGTCAGTTTAGCCAAGGTTTGTTTTATTTTGTTTTTTTGGAGGGATAGCACATGGTTAAACATCTCAACACCTTTGCAAATCTGACCCTTGCTGCAGAGTCTCAGGAATCCCGTTTTTGCTGATGGATTCCAAATGTGGGTTGCATAAGTTTCTCCTGAGGGACACTAGCAGACTTCACAGGCTGCCAGCTCCCAGAAATATGCCCTCAGATTGCGTGCACATATTTGGACATTTTGTGCAAATGAATGATAAAATGTTCGGCTGTGCTGGCCCGTCTTAGCTGTCTTGGCTTTATCTGTGCTTCAAACTCCTGTGAGCTCTGCGCTCCTTGGAACAAGCAACTGGTTAAGGAGACAACCCGAGGAGTGGGCTCTGTCCTGGAGGCCTTTATGAGGAGTGTAGGGTCAGGCACCCCTCAGGGCGGGCAAAGATGAATCTTTCAAACACCTTCTGCCTACCAGCCTCAACACTTGGAAGGGCTGGTGGATCTGCTGTAGTAAACATCGTTTGGTCTTGTTCGCAGCCTTCCAGGGCAGAGCAGCAGCAGCATCTGTCTCCATCCTGATCCATGAGTTCTTATCAGTCGGTGTGTGCGGATGAGGAGCTGGGTGAAGCAGAATTAAATAGCAGACCTAGCGTGCTCTCCCATCTATAGCTGTCCTTCCCTCGTCTGCCGTGCGTCAAAACTACGCCGCCTCTGCTGCCAGGGAAATCCAAGTGGTGTTTGGCTTGGCCTGCGCTATATCAGGGGTCAGCGTTACTCATTCTGTCAGAGGACAAACACATCTTTCATTTTCCACAGCAAAATATTGAAAGTGGCTACGTTCACTCTTCTGGAATAACAGAGGTTGAAGAGAGCGCCGATGTTCCAGCAGAAGTCCATCTGCCACTACGTGTGTTTGGGACCAAACCAGGTGTTGTAAGAGTGGATGCTCAGAGTTAAGTGCTGGGAGATTTGTATTGGCAGTCAGCATCCAAGACTATTTTGCTCAGGTTTCTGTCAGAAAGGGGCCACATTTCCCTTCTCAGCTCCTTTCCCATAGTCTGGTAATTGTGTGCCAGAAGAATTCATCTACCCTGCTGTCCTCTTTCCCCAAGGCTCTCCCAGCTATGGCAGGGAGTAGGCAGGATTGTTAAATGATTAATTGCCTTTGGTGGAGTTATTTTTAACCTGAATCACTTCAGTTACTGAGTTTATAGTGCAGACCCACAAGCACTTCTGTTGGCCAAGCCCAGAGGGCTGAATTATGGAACTGGCCTGGGAATTGGTGGTCAAGGGATAATAGGAAACTTCTTCAGCTGGCTTCGCTGCTGAAGCCAATCATCTAGCTAAATCCCAATGCTCAATATAAAGTTTACAAACATCAATAAATGGTTTGGCCTTGACTTTGTAGGGATGAGGGGAGCAAGGGAAGAAGCTTCCTCCACTGGGTTTGCCCAGGTCCTCATAACTGGATCAACCAGACTTGGGGAAGAACCGAAGTCCCCCCCATCCTGGCTTAGCCTAAAGCAGTAGGCAAGTCTAGGGAGGAGTGACCAGCCGGCACAGGACCAGGAAACGTGCAGCTTGTTTGAAATGGAGGAGGAATATCTTTGGCCTCTCTCCACATGGAAATAAATCATTGCAATCCTCTGCAGCTCACAAGACAAAAGAAACTTTTTGCATGATCGTAATTAGCAACACATTGTACTACCACAGAGCTCTTTTGTTTGCTGTTTTGCAACAGAGCAGAGCAAGCTTTTTCCTCTCCTCTGCCACCCACTGCCCCCTTTGCCCTTTTGGCTCTCACTCGCTGCACCCCAAAAAAGGTAGTGAATTGGTTTGTTGAATTGAAACTCTGAAGTCCTAAACTGAGTTTCTGCCTTTCCTTGACATAAAAGTGGGGGGAAATAGGGAAGGATTTGAAAGCTTTGGCCCAGCTGGAAGATTCTCCTAGACCCCAGGGAAAACAGCCCTTAAGGTAAATCCTCTGTCTCTTTTGTTGCAGAAGGATGTCAGTTGCCAGTGTCAGAACTTGTCTAATGTAGGGTTTTTTTACAGAATGTTTTCTATTACAAACAAATCTGAGTGCTAAATCAACTGCCTTCGGTGCTGTTATCTCTGCAGAGGGCTGAATTTAAGATAGTGATAGGTTCTCCTTGTGGGGTGGTGTTTAATGAGCAGAGCTTGACCTTTTCTAAAAAAAATGGTTCATAGCCCTTACAAAGACATAGATGCTGTTGTAACCACATCTTCCTGCGTTTGCAGGGAGCCTGAAACAGTAGCTCAAAATGCTGCAGTCAGATGCCAAAAACTGCTGGTCACTCTAGTGAGAGGAGAGGCCATGTTGAAGCCTGGCCAGTTGAAGTCTCAGAGTGTGCTGGCCTTTGGATTATCTAACTCTTCTTCTCAATTTGCCCTAAAAAGACTGGGAGTTCCAGAGATCATCCTCCCAGTGCCCATCTCTTTGATTCCTTTATTCTACCAAGTGATGAGGGCTTGCCCTTGCTGGTGTTGATCTTTCTAACTAAACACTCATTCCATGCCTTAGGAACAGAGTTTAATTTCAGGGTGAAAGGAACTAAATGTGCACTTGGTAAGAGGTTGAGGTTGTGCTTTGCGCCCAGGAGTGATTAGTTGCACGAGAACGGAAAAATGTTTTTCCTGTTTGGTTTAATTAGCATGGAGTTTACATTTCACATAGAAATTTGACAGAGGACAACAAATGTTCCTGATCATTGGCCAGTAAAAACAAAGTAAGATGGCTTCGGGCATTGATTTGATGTTGTATTGCCCAGGGAAGGGGAGCTTGCTGTCAAACACAGCAGTCCGAATTCTTGGCTGAGAAAAACAAATCAGTCGCAGAATCCACGGAGCAATAACTCCTCAAAATCTGAAAATGCACCTTTCTGAATGCAGAGGCTCCCCGAGGAAGTCCTTGCCTCTCTGTACTGGCTGCCAGGTCAGGCCAGATTTGTCCAGAAGTTGTTCTCAGTCATAAAGTTTGCTTGTTTAAAGGGCCTGATCCCAAACACCGTGACTCTGGGTCTGCAGTGTGGCAGAATGGAGGTGGCCTCTGCCCATATTGGTTAGTCCTATTCTGTTGTTTGATAGTATATTAACAAGATAAGTGCTAGAACAGGCTTTATGTAAATTATATTTTTATTTACTTTCAGCCTGAAATAAAGCTTTCTTGTTTGCTCTTCAGAAGAGGCGGCCTGGGAATGTTTAAGAGACTTGTACTGACTGGTTTTCTTGTTACCTAAACCTAACATTGCCCCCACCTTATCCTCAATTTTACTCGAATCACTTCAGAGCTGAACTACTTTACCTAGAGATCTGTAAATTTTAGACTTTATGCAGTGCAGCCGGGTCCAAACTCACTCTGACTACAGCTGTAGAACCAGGAATGCGGGGGTTCTGAGGTGAGAGAGATCTGAGCTGGGAGATTACAGGCACATTCTAGCCAGGGTATGCTGTTGCTGGTCCAGCACAGCTTGCTGAGAAGTACAGGCTCATAAGCTTGGGTGCAGTACCCTGCTAGAGTGGCTCGCTCACACTGTGTGGGCTACTGGTCTGGGTCTCTGCTAGCTCAGGTGTTGCTTCCCTAGGCTCTGTTTTGCTCCCTAAATTTAAGAATTGGATCTTGTTTTGATAGATGTTCTGCTTGTCCAGCATCCAAGTATGAATTATTCCTCCTTCCAACTGCAGTCTGCAAGCCAAGAGCCAGACCACATTAGCTAGGGAACCACTGTGTTTCCTGCCAGTCACTGAGTGCAGCCTGGGGCATCTCATGCCTGAGATGGATAGGGTTCAGCTGTTGAGAGGACGAGCACTTCCAGAAAAGCTGCTTATGAACTGGGGATGGATGGAGGGATAGAAGGTTCACAGTTTTGAAGTGTAGTGTCCGGATGCTCTTCCGTTCTGTGATCCAATCCAGCAGGCCGATGTGGGATCTGATGAGTAGCTGTGGGTGGTGTGTGAGGTCGGATGACAAGAAGGAGGCTGTGGTGATGTGCCACAACCCGAGAACGTGCCTCCAGCTGGGCCCACACTCAGAGGAGCCCTGCTGCAAGGCATGCTCCCCTGCTGCAGACTTAACACCATCCTCCCTCCTCATTGTATGACCCAGCCGATGGGATATCCTGTTTTGGATGGAAAAGAGCATGAGGAGGGCTGCAGAATGAAAGTGCCTGATGAATTATAGGCATGTGAGATTTCTGCTAGAGCAGGAGCACAGGCGCTCGGTCAAAGCAAATATTAAGGGATAACAATGAGAATGTGAATCTGAAAGTACCCTGATAAAAAAATGTCAAAATCGAATGGTTCTGAGTTTGGTTTTGATTTTCCTGCTGGATCTACATTGTGCTGCTTGCTTAAAGAATAACTAATGTTTATTTTTGTCCTGCAGTGTGTATTTAGGGAGCAACTTCAGAATCGGGCCAGCAATTAGTAAGATTTTGAATGCTCTGGTGCTCTGAACGGCAGCGGTATAATAAGCTCCTCTCTTTTTTGTGGGTCCTGATGGTCTTCTCCTTTTTCTGGAAGGAGAGAAATCTCATTATGTATCTGTCTTCCTCCTTTTTAGGTCAGCTATGAGATGCTGGAAAAAATCCCCATCCTAAAGAGTCTTCGGTACATAGAGAAGCAGGCTGGCAAGGACGTCGCTCTCCAAGATGAAGGTTCAGGCTTGGCAGATGCCAACCCACCGGCGGTGTTAAACGAGAAGGCAGTTGCTGCAAATACAAGCCCGTCAACTGCATCGGGCTCGGCTCAAACAGGACAACGTTGTGTTGAAAGTGGGTCTTTAAGTCCCAGCTTAGAGGGATCTGGCACGATTACCACTGTGTATGTGGGCGACATACCTCCCAGCGTACGAGTGAGCGAGCTGAAGTGTCCTTTGAGGGAATTCCGTGCGACTCCTTTCCGACTGAATTGGCAAGGAGCACAGCACAGGGCTTTTCTCGATTACAGGGATAAAGCAACTGCAGAGAGTGCTGTGTCCTCTTTGAAAGGCTTGAGCCTGGGGGGTGATACTTTGCGAGTTGAGCTGGCCAAGAATCAGAGAAACAAAGGGCAAGTAGAAATCAATAGTCAGAAATGAATGGGAATAGAGGACAGAAATAGGCGTGTTCTCGTCGTTTTGTGAGAAGCCGACCTAAGTTTTCAAGGATATTGGTGTATCCTCTGATTTCTGCAGGCTGAACAACCAAGTGCAAAGCCAACTTTCCAAATAAACGAGGCAAACATCTCACAGCTGACGTGCCTGCCTCCTTCCTGCAGTTGTACACACAAAAGTTGATTTGCTGTTTGGCGTGTACGTTTGTTAGGTCTGGATCAAAAACCTGGAGCGAGGTGGTTGGGTTCTGTCATCTAAAGGTTGTACCTGCAAATTTGTACTCGTGAGCTTAAAAGCCAGCTGCAGAAAATCTGCCTTAAGGGTTACAATTCTGTTCACCAAAAAATAAAGTTTGCCTGTTGGGAGGTTTTCAGCATATTTTTTCCTAAAAATGGCCGGGAGGAGAGATTGCCCTTCTTGTGCTCTTGAAAAACGGCTGTGGAAACACTGCCTGAGCCACCGAGTTCTAGTAGTAGCTGTTAACATCAGGTGGAAGAGATGGTAGCCCCTTTTCTCAGCTTTGTTTTGTTAATTCAGCCCTTTGCAAACTTATATTTCTGATTTCAGTCTGGCAGAAGAACATGAAGAGCAGTTTTTTGCTAGGCTTTTCCTCAAAACACTTCAGGTGCCTTTTTCATGGATGCAGATAATTATAAAATAGAGGCTTTTCCTGATTATTTCATCTGTTATGATTTGGTGTGATTCCGTTGCCTCTGTGAAATGACATTAATGTTAATCATTGTAGTGGAAATGAAAAACAGACAGACCACAGTCAAAACTTGTGGGTAACTAGTCTGCTGTGGAGTTGTTTAAAAAGTTGCTGGAGATGGTAGCAAAGCCTGGTCCTGCTGTGCCTTTGTCCCCACCAGCGTGGTGTTCCTGCACCCACACCACCAGACAGCAGCACTGGCAACTTTTCGTTGTGAAAGTGCTATCAGGTACTAGCTTGAACAGTAAGATTTGCACACGGAGGAAAATTCACTTCACATGTAAAGGAGAACGATGATTTATTTGGTATGGCTTTTATTACTTTTTTTTTTTTCCTTCGGTTTCCTATTCCTGAAAAACAAGTTGGATTTTGGCTGAACCATCCTTTCTAAACAGAAGCACTTTTGCCATTGATGCTGGGCACATAGTCAAAGTAAGCAGCTAAATGGATATTTTTTTAAACATGAGTTGGAAACTTTTTTTAGCCAGAGGGTACTGTTAAGTGTATTTTAAGCACGTTATTATGCCTCAAGGGTGAGACGTTTTGTACAGTATTAAATAAAAAGTTATCATCATTATTATGTTCTCTGTACAGAGGTGCTCAAGGGAAGCATTGCTTCAGCTTATTGTAAGGTCAACAAAGGAAAGGTTACTGGAAAAAAAAAAAAAAATGCTCTGCTCTAAAATGCTCTCGTTTTCTCCAGCTCAAGATTATTGTCAATATCACAGTCTGAATTAAAACATCAGTGCTGCAAAGTCCACTGCATCCTGTTTCAGTAGTTGTGCACTTCAAGGGTAAGAGTCAGGGGTTATGTTACTACTTAAACATACTTATTACATCATAAGCTTAGAAAGCAGAGGAAAGAAAAGCAAAAAAATAATCATACATCACTGCCTTCCCCTTCCAAACGATGGCAAATGAAGTAACACGATCATCTGATGCTCCTTTCGACCCTTGCAGCACTGCTTGCTTTGGTGGAGATGCCCAGGTGACCTTAGCAGTTATTCTGCCAGCATCTCAAGCATCCCCTGTCACATTACAGATTGAACCAGCTTTTTCCAGTCAAATTTGTGGGGAATTTCATCCTCTTACCTTCTTTCCTTTCTCAACATCCGAAGTTTCAGTGCAGATACGTTTGCACGTGACGTGATACGTAACTGCGTTACGTTTGCTTGCTTTGCTCTCAACACCGCGTGCGGTCAGGGGCTGGTTTTGTTGGGACAAACAGGTCTGGATGGTTTTCTGTTCCCAGTTGTGGTTCTGCCCAGGGGATGAGCTGTGTATCCAAGTGGGTAGATCTCTGCAGTTCTCTGTATTGTGAGGCCACGTTTCACAGTGCTACCCAATATCTTGTTGCCTTCCCAGTGGGCAATTAACAGTCTGAACCACACTATGGAAGAGATAATAACTAGACAGTGGAATGTAACTGTAAAATACTGAAAAATAACTACTATAAGCTTATGCTAATGCACCATTCATGAGCATTCTGAATTGACTGGAATTATAATGTTGATGCTGTGATAATTATATTTCCAACTTACACAGTGCATTTTTGATCCACGTTATTAATAAACAGCAAAGTCTTTTGGGCCTTGCTATCTTAAAGTGATTAAAGTGTGGGTTTTAATTCAAGGTAGCAGCTGCTCCAAGGCAGAGTTTGGCAGCCTGTTGCAAACCCATCTGCACCAGCAGCTTCAGCAAACAGGCAGCAACTGAAGTGCAGGTGCAGGTTCGTTTCTGTCACCTCTGCTTGAAGAGCAACAACCTGCAGGGAAGGAATTAGTACAGAAAGGGGGCCTGAAGCTGCAGAAGGCTCACCAAGGTTTGGAGCTTCTGCAGAGGTTCTGCAGTAATGAGTTACACGGAGACAAGCCAGTAAACATCAGGAATCACCTTTGGGATGCTATAGGATTCCCACAAGGAAAACAAGAACTTAATATCTACATTCTGCAAAAAAAAAAGCAGCATGACTCGCAGCAAAGCTGTTCTATAAGCTCACCTGTGAGGACCAGAGTCTAGCTCATGCTTTTGAAACGCATCATGTGCCAACACAGCAGGAGTTTGAGCTCGTGCACTCTGAAGTCAACGCAAAATCTGCCTTGGACGGCGAGGGACGCAGCGACAAGGATGGGGCCCTCGCTGCTGCTTGGGAAGTTGCTCATCTTTAGCTAAAAGGCATTTCAATGCAAGATGCTAAATTGCTGTTTAATTAAATGATGTAAGACTGCCCAAGGCAAATGCCTACATGGCTTTCTGGTGTCTTTAACTGTATGATGTGGATTTTTTCTTGTGGGCTGACCAAGTTCCTACTCGAGGAAATGGCAGATTTTGAAGAAAAAGTGAATGGGGCAGTCTGCATCTCTTAGATCTATTGTTTCAGGCTCTCTGCATGCTCAGGAAGACAGTTACACATGAGTCACTTCTGACTTTTCTCTAAATCCACAAAACTCTGAAATGCAATACATTTTAGTGAATAATTCCACTCTGATCTCATAATGAAACTCGAGGAACTGAAGCCTGCTTACGTTTTACGTTGGCCCATACACCAAGACTATGCAAGGTATTTTACTGACAATCAAACCACCAAGTCCACACCTGTAAAGTCATGAAGAATTTGCAGTCTCAATTAACAGGCTTTAAAGACGAGAACCTTTACTTCAGCAATAATTCTTCATCTTTGTACCTGTTGTAGTTGTGGCCCTGCTGCTAGCATCCAGGTTGAACTAGGCTGCATCTACGTAGATATGTCTCATCTCAGGTGTATACTGGCCTTTACATCCCCTCTTTATTGCTGTGATCAAAGCACCAATCTAGGAATTCAGAGGCCGGAATGCTCCAAGCCTGTTCTGTGTAATGACCTTTTCATGCCCAGAGCAGTGGGGAGAAGGTACCTTTTAGCACTTAACCCCCCCATCTCTTTCTGTAAGGATGGTGGGACATCTTTGCTTCTTAAGACTCTCCTGATGAAAACATCCAGTGAGAAAGACATGCCTGGGTGCTGCAGAAAAGTTTGAAACGCTGCTGATAGATGGGGAGTCTGCTTTTAATAGGGACTGAAGTGATCCCTAACCCAGACTTGATTTTAGCCCACTTGCAGCAGCAGAGGAGCCTGCGTCTCGCTGCTGTGCGACGAGAAGAAAAGTTCAGCAGTACAATGGGAAATACTTTACTGAGCCAACTTTGTTCAGAAGTAATTAAAAATGAGGCCTTTCTATTCTCTGTGCAGCCTGATGTCCTCGCTTGTCATGTGGTCCAGCGCATTCTTTCCAGCTCCTTTCATGGCACAAACAAGTCAGGAAGTTTTTGTTGCATGCCCCTCTTTTTGGAGGGTTCCATGGGGAAAGATGCTGAACAGCTCTGGAGGCTGGTCAGTGTGAGCAAACCCAGGTCCGCTCTCATGGCAGCTGAGAGGTTGTGGGATCCAGCAACGACCACCCTACGTGTTACATCATGGACTTGAGCTTCCCACGATGATTCCGCCCCTCTTCCTATCCTCACTTGCAGGAGAGATGTGGTATCGGATGAACGGAGCCCCTACCAGATCCATTAGGCTGCAGAACGTGGTCACTTTGGAGGGGATTTTCTTTTGTTGAATGATATTAGTCACAGCGTGGTGTGTGGCACAGAGCAGTGAGGCAACATTGTGATCTGCTAACAATAAAAGCGAGGTGGCTAAGTGCCACTCAGCGCTGAAAAACTATACAATCGTTAGGGTTTTCCTCCAGACAGCTATGTCCATGCATTTCCTGGAACAAGGATGAGGCCACACAGCTTCAAGCCACCGAAGACAACAGCCAGTAAACAAGCTGTGTTGCTGTGCAGTCTTCTCTGAGCGACAAGAGTCAGAGATTGTTTGTTTCCATGGAGAGAAAAAGGGGAAAAAAAAATAAAATATCTCACCATCAGGGTGGGAAAGGGAGTCAAGCCTTCTCCTGGGTCGCACAGCCAGGTCCTCATCCAGCCTTCCAGCGTCTCCATGCACATCAGTCCCTGGTCCCCTCCCAGAAAGCAGTCTTTGAGGACAGAGGCTTTGGTTCATTATCTTTGGAGACCAATAAAATATCTCAGAAAAGGGATGGTTAAATACTGTCTTCAATTCATGGCAGGGTTTTTTTGTTTTTTGGTTTGGTTTTTTGGGTTTTTTTTGGGTTTTTTTTGTTTTTTGGGGTTTTTTTTACATTTCATCGTCTTCTACTGCTCCAAAGGGAGAAACTAATGTTTTTTAGGGGAATGTTTCCGTTGAAAAATCGAGCACTGGGGCTGCATTTTTCTCCACAACTGCATCGAGGGGTGAGGAGGGGGAGGAAAAGCGTGTGCTGGGATTTCTCTCATTCCGGTTCCTCAGAAGGAACAGCCCCATGCAGCAGTTCTGGCTCTGGAGGAAACATCTGTGGCTGTGGCCATGTTCCTCAGGCAAACATACCCC